TTCTATCGAATACTTAGGTGTATGTATGCAATGTGCCACATTTTTAGTTTTGCATTAGTTTTTTTGCAGTGTTACAAACAGTTATTAGGTGAACACGCTTATAACTTAAGAACAGCTGCACTGATTTTAATGACATGATTTTCTCATCCCGGAATAACAGAATAATTATCGTAAATGCTTACTGTAAGACATTTCATCGAAGATATTTTAAAATCGAAAGCAAGTCAAATCAAATGAAGACGATGTTTATTAGGTCATGTGCAGTAGTTTGATAATTAAGTTCTGGTAGGAATGCCATCGACAAATTGTGAAGTGGGTTTAAATTGAGAATTGGAAGTAAAAATGAATATGGTAGATATGCATTGAACCATTTACTTCAAACGAAAGCACCAATGTTGAACCCACAATCTCAGGAAGTGCATGATAAACTAATGAAACTAGCTGACTACAAACAAGAAAGTTGTATAGCAAAACAATATTTCTACGGCAGAAGTCGTAGAATGGAATGATTTGATTTCGTTTCCGCCGAACAAAAATCACAATTGTTTGTGTAAAAGAACAATTTTAGCAGCAAAGAACAAGGATATAGATAACTTAATAATTCAAAATAAAACAACCATCAGAGAAAAAACCCAGTACCTTCTTCTCGATTACATATACAGGGAAAATATCAACAAAAATAGCCAAACACACAACATACAAACTTAAATGTGGAGACTGCTCAAAAACTTACATCGGTCAAACTGGTAGAAACTTTAATAAACGAATAGCAGAACATAAAAGAACTTTCAATAATAGAAAAACGGATTCTACATACGCGCTTCACCTTCTTGATCACAATCATTCTTTTAATGACGAATTTTAAATTCTTCACATTCAAAATAAAGGCCTTAAGCTATCTTTGTTAGAACCTATGAAAATCAACAAATTAAAAACACAGATATAATTCTGAATGACCAACTTGAGACAAACAGTTCTCCCCTCCTCAACCTATTTCATTAAACACTATAAAGTGTAAACGCATGCCAAAAATAGATCACTTGAAAAGGCAATCAGCCGAAACAGCTGTAGTGATAAGAGTTTAAAATAAATTTTGTGGACGAAGTTTTCAATATTTTATTGTTTTATAAAATGAATTTCCATCAAGTAACGGTCGAATCCATTAATTATTTAAAATAAAATCGTTAGTCCACTGCATTCATTCAAATACACTGACTGTATACGAGACAAAAACGTGTGCTTGGCTTTTTACATACTTTATAATTTACAACTAAAGGTTGGCAAGGTCGTCATGATAATTATAAATCTGAACCAACTAAAACAATTTAACTTGGCGCATTTGGTGGTTGAAATTCATATGCAATGTAACATACAAGCGACAGTACTCAATGGAAAATTTAAGAATGAGGAGGTTCGCATTGCGAGAATTCCAAATATGCCAACCAATATGCCATTCGAATTTAAACGCATTTTATATCAGATTCATTTTGCATTCATCATGGCAATAAACAAATGACAAGACCAATCCTTAATGTTTGTGGACTTAGTATAGAAAATAATTGTTTCTCTCATGGTCAGTTGTACGTAGTATGTTAACGTGTAGGCAAATCATCCATTGTTCATTCTCGCGACTGGCAACATAACGAAAACTATAGTATATCACAATGTCCTTTAATGAAAACAATGGATAAGAGCGCAATTCATTTATTAACCTTAATTAATTTAATATTTAGGAACGTAGTTTGTATTTATGAAGATAATTATTGTGGTAGAAATGCTCTTAAGCGATATTCAGAAGTCTATCCGAACATCCTGCAACCTGACCATAAACTTTTTAAATAACTCTATATGTTTTAACCAACATTTTATTTAGTACCGATGCTGTGTTTACTTAACGAAAAATCTATAACTGGCGGATCAATTAGTCGTAAGCAACTGAAAATGAACACCTTTCAACGCAGAATCACATTCAAATTTGTTTTATGTTTGGATTTACATTACTGTAACTACGTAATCATTCCATAGGAGCTTTCTCTAAGATTGAATCGTACAGAATACCTGAATTTTCTTGAAAACTACATAAATAATTAAACGATATTTCTTTTAACTCATGTCATATTTTTTTATCGGCTGCTAGTGATGCTGATCATTAGCAGACACTTGGTTTTTGGTGTTCAAAATTCAAACAACAACGATGAAATCACGCACTATCGAGTTCGTCGATATGTGAGCTACAATAAAAGGATTTGGACCTCATCATACAATATACCAAATACAACATTTCATTGTTGTACATTTGGCGATGCATCTGGTGAAGTCAACGAGTTTATTTAACTAATCGTTGCCAAAGCGATCCATTTGCATGAATGTTACTCAACTTTAAGATCCCACTTGGAATTGGTTGTTACACTTTGGAAAAAGTGGATCAATTCAAGTGAAGCAATACAAACACTTGGATTGCATCATCGAAGAAATGGTGATTTTGATTATGCATGATGGTCCATCAGCGCACTGGAAGGTCGGAATTTAATAAATTTACGTTTTTCACATAGGTGGATGCGACGTGCAAGCGAATTTGGCCACCACGCAGTCCTCTAGCTGTTATTATTGGACTTACATATATTTTTATTTTCTCGTAGACGTCGACTCCGAAAAGTTCCACCCGCCAAATCCCAACAAATGCAATTCGTCATCACGGCCAAACGATCTGCCACTTTCCCACTCTCGGTATAAAGTCGATAATTCACTTCATGTCCATGATCCTCCTTAACGTCTTCCTGAAAAAAAGAAATGACGTCGCTAGATGGATTCTTGAATCCATCTGTCTTTACTTTAATTTCGGTTGTTGTAAAGTATTTCACTTGAAAGTCTTGTCATTACCTATGTTTTTAATTCTTTCACGTATGCCCTTCAACACTTTCTACGTATGTTAGCCTTTGTTCATGTCGTTTGTACGATAAATATTCGTATATGCAGGCACAAAATATTCTTGACAGTGTATCTCAAGCAATACACTATTTGTATCTGGCAATTTCTAATGAAGCTTTTGTACCAAACCATACTCTTTCTTTAGTCTCTACCAAGAAGTTCTGGCTCTAGATAAAAGACACTGACTTTCTTTAGAGGAGTTTCAAAAGTTCTCCTGGCTACACATCTCAAATCTACAAAAGATAATGGTTCTAATAAAGGTAGGTCACTGACCTACCCTAAAGATAAGGGTAGGTCTCTGACCTACCCTTAGGAGTGTCTTGCATACCCAAAATTTGCACTCAGTCCCTAAAATTTCGTCCTATGATTCTTGGATTCCTTGTCATGTTACCTTGTTGGTTTCTGACAGCTAATTGTGAGGTTGTTTACAATCTCAAAGGGGTAGGTCTCTGACCTACCCTTAGGAGTGTCTTACATACCCAAAATTTGCACTCAGACCCTAAAATTTCGTCCTATGATTCTTGGATTCCTTGTCATGTTACCTTGTTGGTTTCTGACAGCTAATTGTGAGGTTGTTTACAATCTCAAAGGGTGGTTTTGATTTATTTGAACTACAAAAAGTTGAAGGGAAAAGAGACGTAAAGAGTAAGAAAAAGACTTAAAGCTTGGCTGTCTGAGAAAATATAAACATTTAACTACGGATACCTTTGCTGAGGCATACTCGGTACTGATGTCTATAACTTCTATGATGTCTATTGGCGAGGAACCGCAAAGTGGGCGACGCCTGGTGGTAGATCTCAAAAGCATTCACTTCGGGAAAGCTTTGAAATTATCATTATTTTGTATACATATTAGCGACCGGTTTATATTGTAATTAACAATGACTTCGACTTCAAAAAACTATTGCAGTGTCCCTCAATGTTCATCCTATTATAATTCACAAAAAAATTCCAAGTTTCCGCTGGACCAGAATATGAGACAAGTTTGGCAATGCATTTTGCGAATTAGAAAACTTAGAACCAAGTACATGACTGTTGTTCTGAGAACAATTACTTTCCAACTGTTGATTAAAATATTATTTATATCTTAATATATTTATACCTAATTTACTTTATAGTAACATCTGCAACTAAATTGAAAGACTAAAGAAAAATGCTGTTCCATCAGCTAAATTGCCCCAACGGTATCATGAAGTTATTAGTAGAAAACGTAAGGCGCAATTTACAAAATATAACGTGGCCAGCTCCAAAAACTCAGCCTCAACTAAAGATCTCTGCCGATCTTGTAACAATATAAATAATTAAAATAATGTAAATTTTACTTCCCGTGTTTCAGACATACTGTAGAAAAACAAACATTTAATTTTATTTTTATTCAGGTTTGGGAGTCAATTACCTTATGTATAAACTCGAATCTCAAACAAATAAACTCTGAAGAACGTACTTCAACTTTTACTTTGGCAAAACACACGTGTAAATGATTTATATTAAACGTTTTATAGCTTAGAGATCAAATGACAAAATGATTGTTTTCCCGAAGTTATCCTCCATCTTTGAAATCTGCAGCCTGTCGGGATTGGCTATCGCGAATATTTTCGTCTTATAGAGTTAGCTAACGCTGTTCCAATGTTAGTCTGAAATTTGGTTTTGCTACTATCCACCTATCTCTATCAAAATCTCACTATTTTGATCTATTTTAAATCCACCCGTATGTCATAGAAGAATAAATTAAAAATTACACCCATAATTGCCATAATCGTTGATTGAATATTCAATCAACGCCATAATTCACCATTATTCCATAAATAATTATTATAGTTAAAATCATTTCGTTAAAATAATAAAAAACTATTTATAGATTATTAATACCAAAGAAACAATAATTAGTAACATATCTAAATCTATTTTGTTGGCCCTTAATAATTATTTCTAAGATAGACTTTATTTACACCACCATAAAAATATTAATGCTGGTAACTAAGCAGGTCGACTGTATTCTCTAAGTGGAATCAGCGATTCTTCATGAACGAAAACAAGCGTTCGCACTGTTGTGTATGTATATGCATCAAGTTCAGTCGCTTCGAGTTTGGAAGACTGAGTGCACCGAAAACGCACCCGACAAACAACAAATTCCCGTCATTTACAAAACGGCGTGAGATGGAGATGGTGCCCTCACATGCTTCGGCTAAAAGATAAAGATGGTGCGATCGTGTTTCTTTTTAAGTCGTTAAGAATTCTCACTTAAGTGTTATTTTTGTGTGAAAAAGTGCGTGAATTTGTGTAAACATGTCTTGGATTAGGAGATCTAACGCTAAAGTGGCTGCTAAAAAGGGAAATGAAAACGATGATGATAGCAGCTCAACGTACTCAGACGATTCGGTAGGTAATTTAATGATATAAGAGATAATATATGCTTAAGGACATAAATAAACTAGCTTTTACACTACATTATCTTCTATGAATGATTCCATTGAATATAATTTATTCTAACCTACAAATCTCTTCTAAATAAGTTTATCAGCTACATAAATTTATATGTGCAAGCATTACTGCTAAACAGTCCAAAGGTTAAGACGTTTATTTTATTGTAGTCGTTAGTGAAAAGGAAAACAATCTGAAAATTTATTATTGTAGTGTAAGTAGTTTAAGTTATTAGATTCAATATCATAAACCAAAATTGGACGTAGTTAAGCAGAAAACGTCCAACCCAAAAAAAGTGATTGTTGGGAAATTGAGTTTAAAAGATTTTAGTGTGCCCTAGCTAAACTATGCATAATTTATTCGCCTGGCAATGATTTTAAGATAATGATATTCATCTCGTAGGCACCTCGTTTGTAATTTCTTTTAAATGTAAGTTTCAATGAAGTTATTTTGAAAATTTTAGGTTGGACGTTTTTAACAAAAAACAAAAATCCGAAAAAAATTTCGATAAAACATACTTATGTGGGTTGGAATCTTTCAGATAAATAAATAATGTCATATTTTTATAAAAATTTTAATGATCCAAAGAAACAAAATTACAATGATTTTCTTATGTAAATGTAAATTTAAAAAAAGTTTTAATTATTGTGGGTATCTACCTCAAAATCTAGAACTGGAACATTAAATCCATCAACGTCTTCGACTACATTAGCACTTGTAAAATTTTCATAAAACGGTTTAGCGTCTGAAGGAATTAGATGTAAATAGCTTTTAATATCGTTAATTTTATCCTCTGACAGGGGTTTACCATTGGGCCAGAGTTGCATAAGCAGCGCCGAAAAGCTCTCTGTATTTAATCGTCCTCGTCGCTCAATATCCAAACATACACTTTCATCGCCAAAATAACTAGGTTTCATAAAGATGTGGTAAGGATTTTCTTTTGTTAATATAATTTGTTTTGTCTCCAACCAATTTATTTTTTCTTTATTGGTGCCAACTTTTCTGTTTATTGTGGCCTTCTCGAGCTGGTGGGTACTCAAAAACCATTCCTTTTTCATTTGTGCAGCTGTTATTGGAGACTTTTTACGACATGAATTTATTATATTTATATAGTCTAAAGGTGTATATATTCGTTCTTGACGTTTGAGTTGACATTCTATATCCCCAAAATCTTTATCATTTGGTAAAAACTATGGCCGGAAATCAGGAATTTAAATGTTATAGTTTTTATATTATGGCTGGTTTGAAGAAGACTGGCCATGAGGAGTGTTATTTTAATATTACGGTTCTGGCCTCCACAAGAATCAGACCACAATATAAGATGTTCAACAGTACTTTCTATGTTTTCTAAATATTTTACAATACAGGAACCAACCTCCTGAGCTCCTCTTCCAGCAGTTCCTTCAAGCCATACATAGGAATAACTCTTATTACGTTTGCCTGAAAATACACCGAGATTATACAAGCAAACTTGCCTCTTATAATATATTACATTGGTTGGAATTTTGGGTAAAGGTAGAGTTTTTTGAAGATCGTATGTTAAACACTCTACATTATCCTCATCTTTAGCTCGTTTTAAATCTGCCTTTAATGTTTCTCGTGATTTTTGGGCCAAATCCTGATGAGTGTCGAGTTCAATTTGTAAAAGTTGCTTTTTATGATCATCCGTTTCATTTTGTAGTTTTATTTTAAATGAATCACATACCTGGCATGTGTCCTTCTTGGGAACATTAAATCTCAAATTAAATTTTTCGTAAAAAATCCTCTTATAAATACCAAATTTCACAGGGTTTTGAACTTCAGATTTGTATAGATCATAAATCTTTAATAATGAGAGATGTGCCGGTAAAAATAATGCAGACGTGTTTTCACGACAGTAGTGCGATATGTACTTAGGCAGTTTATTGATCTGGTTGATTATTTCCTGAATTTTATTTTCAGGGACTTTGTTTAAACCACCTTGTTTTCTACCTCTTTGATCAAGAATTGGAGCACGATTGTTTACCTTTCTCAGAGCTGTTGTTACTCTTGACGGAGTTATTCTAAGACTATTGATAAACATTTGCCTATAAGTAAGGAATATTGTCTGGAATACAGACGTCTTTCAGTGTTTCTTCCATACATTCTTTTTTTCGGCATTTCGTGGATATTATTGGCAATAAAGATAGTTTGGGCATTATAAGACCCAAGACTCCAAAAACGATCAAATTCTTGTTTTCGTGACTCTGTAGAAATCAACTCAGAACATTTCATCGGGCAGTTACAATTGTAGTCATATTGAAATTCTTTAGCAGCTTTCAATTTTCCTTTGTAGTCAATGTAAGATTCATTTTTGTTCCTATTAATCTTTGATGTTGCTCGCGTCATTGCAAATTTCTTTTTTCTACCCTTCTTTGGACGACCTGATGTACTGGCTAAAAATGGATTATCATCACAACTTTCATTGTTATCGGAACTCTCTTCATGTGACGATGGTATAAACATATCAGAGGAACCGCTACTAAAGACATCACTTATTGACATATTCTGTAAGAATAAAAAGGTAGGTATTATTAGATAATATTTTAAATAAAAATTTCAAAAAATTATAGAAAGCGTCTATTTTAATTAAAGAAGTTAACTTTTAATCAATTACCAGGTACCAAAAAATAAAACAAATTCAATTCATTCAAATTAATCTTTTTCATAAAGTTTACTATAGGTACTCATCGAAAAATAATTTTCATATGCTTTACATTATTGTATAATTACTTTAATCAATAATAATTGATGATCATAATAATAGGTATCAATTTAACATTGGTATAATAAGATTAATACATATGTGTTTACAAAATTGTGTGTACCTAAGGAAGTTGTATTTTTTCTTTTAGATTGTAACAATAGGTACATCAAAGTTTAGTTTTCATTAAATAGAAATAATATAGCGAATAGCATTATAAAGCATTTTACTAAACAGTATAGGTACAAAGATTTAATACTTACATCATAATCATCAACAGAATCTATGGTAGAAGCTGATTCAAAACATCCAGTTTTCTCGTTTAAAACCATTTCACGAATACGACTATTGGATGACGATGGTTCGCTGTGACGGTAGAATTCTGTCACATTGGTATCATCCATATTCTACAATATATTTAAATTATGTAATGATGTATAAAATGCATTTATTTTAAAAATTTAGTAAACAACATAAACTTTTAGAAGCCGTGTCTTATAAACTGATTATTTTTTCGTGATTTTCGGCCAGATTAAAGAAATACCACAAAACTCTATTTTCTTCTATTTTCTTTATTTTTTTTTTAAGATTTAGTAACAAAATAAATTGAAACGTCGTAAAAAAAAAAGAGAGTTTTGTGTTATTTCTTCAATCTGGCCGAAAACCACGAAAAAATAATCAGTAAACAACATATAGTTATTTTTTAATAAAAAATTTCCGACTTACCTCAACATTGGTAATATTTGAATCAAATTCCACGCTAGACATTACACTATTTGTTTGGTTTTCCATAAGTTTTGCTAGCTCACACATGTATTTGCTTCTTTTCGACATAATTATTATTAAATAAGTATTTTTAAACCCGAACAGTCAGAAAAATCAGACACAACTGAATAAAAAGAAATGTTTATCAATACATAGGCACATTTACTTAAAACTAAAGGAAAGTGATTACTATGCTTAAGATGAGTACCTATAATAAATTAATTTTTATCGACCAAGTTCCAGGGTTTATACGCACAAGGCACGTTTTAAACATTAATAGGGCACATTCCCGTAATAAAATTTTATTATCGACCGAAATTGAAGATTCAAACTACTTTTAACATATTAATGAAATAGTAAACGTAAAATGATACCAAGTGGTTTGGACGATTTCTGATTATACTCTTATTTTTAACAAGTATACCGAAATTTATAAGTAGAAAACATCCAATTCACTTGGATGTTTTTAACACAAAAAAATGCACAGTAGTTTTGTTATCGCATGGAGCGTTAAAGTGATCCAACCCACTTAGCCTGTTTTAACCACTCTTTTAACACGATTACTTAGATCGACATACATTTTTTAGAAAAAATTCAACCCACTTGGATTTTTTATTATCAATGAAAATCTCAGTTAACCTAGTTTGTGGGTTAGAACTTTGACGATTATTAAAAGAGTATGTAATGTTTTCACTTGGACGGTTTCTGCATATTATAAAGCAAGAAATTATATGCTCGCTGGTGTAAAGAACTCATTTTTAACAATTTGTGGGTTGGACGTTTTCTGCTTAACTACGTCCAATTGATCATTTGTAAAAAATCTGTAAGTATAATAATATTGAAGTAATATTAATGATCCTACAGTCTTTAGACTAATCAATTTAACTCTTGTAACAATATCCTTTATATGTTTTTGAGAAATTAGACAAAAATTTTAAAATATACCTATTACTTAGGTCTTATATTTTCAATTGTACTTTTACTTGTTTCCGATTGACTTCCATTTGTAGGTTTTTTTTTTATGACCAGACAAGCTTCTATCAGCTGATCTGATTCTAGTCTAGCGTGCATTTCATTGTGTTTAATTCGTTCTATTGACAATATTGACATCAAACCTGCCTTTTTATTCCCTGGTTTGAAAAATAAATGGATATTTTTTAAGATTGTCCAGTGAAAGTTTTATATTGTTCTGAAGCCATTTTCTTGTGGCATTTTAAATTAATTACTATTTAACTGGGAATAAGCCACAATTAAAGATAAAAATACGTTTATTGACTACTTTAAAATGATATTGCCAATATTGTTGAGTTGCACTCCTGGGACGACTTTACTTATAACAAAGAATATATAAGCGTCTATATTCTTTGCTTATAAGATAGTTCATTCGATTATATAAGTTTTAAGTCTATATTATATATTCATTATATATAAGTTTTATATTCAAATACGATATTCCTTAATTGCAGTGTTT